AAAAACGCAACTTACAACAAAAAATTATTGGTATTTTTTACACTTAGATAAGCACAAAGATTTTTATGGAGAAACTAGAGAAAACTATTATTAATGTTTTGTTTCAACAGACAATGTGCACTTTTTTTGTGGTGCCACTTTTTATGCTGCAAACTGGAACGATATTTGAAACTTAGCCTGGTCGTACGACACATTACCAGATTTATAAAAGCTAAGGTTAACTAATGCTGCAAACAAAAAAAAAAAATTTACATTGAAAAGCAGTGATATGTGGCACATTTAAGTTTCAAAAAAAAAAAAACGTTATAAAAGACAAAAAAGTTAGAATTACTATTTGCTGCAATCAACTAAGAGATGCTTTTTTTTGAAATGACAACTCTCAGAGTTGAGAAGTATACAATAAGAAATTCGGGTTTGTTGTATGGACATCCTAATAAACTTATAAAAGTTATAGGCTATGAGACAAAGAACTGTGAAACAGCAGCTAGTGATCAGACTGCAATAGCTGTTCATCAAATGCTCATAAAACTTTCAAGGAAACTGATATTTAAACTTTTTTTTGCTTTTTCTACAATAATCGTCACGATGAAGAGTGCTAACCGAATAATTCTGCTAAAAAGTGAAAAGCATTAATTCGTTTGTAAAACAACAGTATAATGTTATTACAATTGTTCAAGCTATACAGTTTAAGCTATACAGCGTTCAAGCCAAAATTTATTTTAGATAAAAATCATATATTTTTTGCTAACAGACTTGTAAAATTCAAATGTAATTGCTTGTTCATGACATTCAAATTGTACAAGACAGACCCTGCAGTTATTGAACTGCTATGACCGCTCCAGATAAGTAACTTTTTTTTAATATCTAGGTACAATTAGCTAAGCGTTATTGACTCAGTTGTTAAATTGATATGGTTGATCTGTATGTTGCGTGTTTCTGAGAGTCTGCAAGACTAAAAGTACATACCACTCTGATCATACTCTACCTGAAAGTGATTGTTGTTTACAAAATTGATTCTCTGGTTTTTATGATAGAATTAATTGATAAAGAAAATAAATGACAGCTGTCATTTGGTTCAGTTTTATTAATTAGCTACTTTTAAAATTTGATAAAATTTTAATTCAGTTTTAGATGTCAAACAACAAATGCTGCTCTAATTTCGAATATTCAAATTACGACAAATTTTAATTTCAAATTTTTTATGTTTATGTCTATCAAGCTCTCTTTTGATCAAATCTACTGTTGCTTGTGCTGAACAGTTTTTGTTGCAAACTTTTGCTGAATATTTTTCAACTAATACTACTTTTTTCTGCAGTTTGATTTCAATAAGTAAGCACTGCTATTTAAATACACAATAAAGGTAGTAAAGCTAGTAAACGACCAATTTGAATTGGTCACAACGTTTTTTCGTCAACTGCTTATAACTAAAATATCTCAGATCACATGATTTACACAGCCTTTACCCTCGTACCGGTTTCGTACATTTCTTTCCCAATGGCAAATAACGCTTCAATTTTGCATTGAGTCAATCTTTTTCAGTTATCTTAGGTACCAAACTTTGATGGTTTTAAAAGCTTTTTTTGAAATTGTGAGGAAAATCTTTGAAGGCACACCAGAAATTTGAATGTTGATTAATAGATTCTGCACCGATTTGTTAAAATAGATCAGAAGCAATAAAAGCTAAAAAATTTTACTTTTTTAATAAAAGCTTTTCTTGACATTTCTGATAAAACACTGATAAAACAAATATTTGACGATACGATAAAGTTATGAGATATAAGTACAAAGTGTTTTGTTGTTTTTTCTTGTAAGTAGAAAAAGAGCGATGAGAACACCGCTTGCTAGACGTTGAAGGTCAACTCTACACATAATAAGAAGCTATAACTGTAACTTAATTTGTTATGCTCTTCAAATCAGCCAAAAACGTTTTTTTTTTTTCCTTATAAAGAAAGTCAAGCCTTAGACAGAACTCTGCAAATAATTGCTGAAAGTTGTGTTATATTGAGCAGCATCAAAGAGACTTGTTAAAATAGATCAAACATCTTTATTTTAAAATAGATACTCAAGAACAAGGTGCAGTATTCATAGACACTGGCAATACTATAATACCACCTATGGTTTTCTTAAGTAACATTTTATCAACAATATCAGTTTAATGCCATTACAGGTGCCTTTTACGCACATAAGAATTTGTCTCCAAAGATGTTGTGAAAAAACTGTAGTCTGTTTTTAGACTATATTTTTTATTAGTTTTTTGGTGTCGGCTGTTCAGATATTTTTGGACAGATCAGAAACTACTTAACAATATTTTCTGTAAATAACAATCAAAAACACAAAAAAAAGCATCTTTAAACAAAATTTAATGTTAAAGAATTTATACCAAACATCTGTAATAAATAAAAAAAAAAAAAAAAAAAAAAAAAA